CCGTCGCCTTCCTGGAGCAGCGGCTGCTGTGGCACGACTCCCGTTACTCGGCGCTGGTGCCCTTCTCCCTGCCCCACCGGGACCTCCCGTGGGCCTGAGCCCCCCGGGTGGGATCTGTCACCCTTGGGTGGGAATTGTCACCCTTGGGTGGGATCTGTCACCCCCAGGTGGGATCTGTCACCCTCGGGTGGGATTTGTCCCCTCCATGGGTGGGATCTGTCACCCCTGGGTGGGAATTGTCACCCTCGGGTGGGAATTGTCACCCTCGGGTCAAATTTGTCACCCCCGGGTGGGATTTGTCCCCTCCATGGGTGGGATTTGTCACTCCTGGGTGGAAATTGTCACCCTCGGGTGGGATCTGTCACCCCCGGGTGGAAATTGTCACCCCCAGGTGGGATCTGTCACCCCCGGGTGGGATCTGTCACCCCCGGGTGCGAATTGTCACCCCCGGGTGGGATCTGTCACCCTCGAGTGGGATTTGTCACCCTCGAGTGGGATTTGTCCCCTCCATGGGTGGGATTTGTCACTCCTGGGTGGAAATTGTCACCCTCGGGTGGGATCTGCCACCCCAGGGTGGGATTTGCCCCCACCCGGGTGGGATTTGTCCCCCCAAACTGGATCCAGCCCCGGTCCCATCGGGAATTCAGGAATTTCGTCAGGAATTCAGGAATTTCGTCAGGAATTCAGGAATTTCAGCGCTGCTGTGGCCATTAAAGGGATTTTTTCACCGATGTTGTTTTTATTTTGGGGGGGGGTTTGGGGGTTCCCACCTCCTTTTTTGGGGCTCTCCCCATACCCCAATCCCTCTGGGACCCCCCCAAATTCCATCTCCTTCGGGGTCCTCGCTTATCCCAGCCCCCTCCCCAAATTCCCAACCCCCAAAATCCCAAACCCTTCCCCAGCCCCGCGGGTTTTTCCACAGATTCCGTCCCTGTGGGTGGAATTTCGGGAATTTCGGGAATTTTGGGGTCCTGGTGGCAGAGGGATTTTTATCTTTGTGTGTCCCCCCCACCCCAAAAACGTCCCCAAATGTCCCCATCCCGGGCCCCCTCCCGTCCCACGCCGGCCTCCGCTCGGGAAGGTGGGAGCCGGAAAAGGAGGAAATTCGGGAAAAACAATCCTGACCTCATCGGATTCCTTGGAAATTCGGGGCGTGGGGGGGGGCTGGCCTTGCTCGGGGGAAATTTGGGGAGCCCCCCCTCATTCCCAGGCATCCCACGGGGAAATCTGGGAAAGGCGGGGGGGGGTCGAGGTTTGGGGGAATTTTGGGGATCCCGAGGGGAATTTTAGGAATCTCCCG